AAGGGAAAGTAGTTCCCTGGTGAAACACCAGCCCTATGTTGTGCCAGGATCCTGGCAGCAGGTTACTTTGCTGCTGCCCCGAGCTGTGCCAATGTCCTAATTAAATCCATGTTGTTGTGTCCATCTGTGACTGCATCAGGATGTGTGTGGGGTGTGAACTTGCCGAGTTCAGCCCCTTTCTTGGGTGGACTCCAGATGGTTGTGCAGAGCAGTGCCAACAGGTCAAGTCTCCTGACTCGCCGCTGTGCTTGGGCATCCTCCGTCAGTGACAGTCTGTGGTCCTGAGAGAGGACAGGCTGCTGCTTGTGTCTGAGCAGCTGGGTAACCACAGGGACTTTGGGGCCAGATAGGTGCTCAGGGAAGGCAGCACATGGCTGGTGAATACCCTGAAGTGCCATAGGGCTGGCTTTTCCCCAGGTAGCTGTGCTCAGGGCCGTGTAGGCACCACTGTGTCCTGGGATACGTCACTGGGTGTTGGGGTTATGGAAACTCATGGGCCCTCTCCCCAGACAAGACTGCCCAAGGGCTACAGCAACCTGTCTCCCACATCTCACACCCTCTGCCTTGGAGCTGGGGCCCACAGGGAACTCCTGGTCTTAGGTGGGGTGCAAGGTCCTCATGCAGCCAATGGGAAACATATGGGAAGCTGTGCTTCAGGCTCAGCTAGATGCTACCATCCTGTCACGGAGGTCTCAAATGCATGGCCCGGAGCACTGCTGGCTGTAGCAGAGGAGAGTGGTCATGGGAGCCTTTCTCCATTTTTCCATCCCGTACCGCTCTGCTGAGTGGGACAGGGGCTGGGTATCTGTGCCCCTGTCTCACCACTTGCTGCTGGCTCTGGCCAAGGAGATTGTCCTGGCAGCTGGTGGCATCGAACAACAGCCTCTCTGGTGCTAGTCTCTTATGACAATACCACATCTGCTGCTGTGGCACAGCCATGGGCCTGCAGTCACAGCTGCAACTTTTCGATCAAGGACGTCACATCTGTCATGGTATCGTGTGTGTCCTGAAACCCATCTGCTAGTGTAGCATGTCGCGTGCAGTAGCGGATAAGGCATGGTGTCTCCTCTGTCATGGGGATTTCTACAGTGATGACATATCCACTACAGAGGCACAGCTGTGACAATTCCCCATGTCCCACAGCGGAGCCCTGCTGGGAGCTGCTCACCTCTTGTAATAGCACATCTATCCTACAGTCTCATCTTCATGGATCTTGTCCCTTAGGCCAGCACATCTATGCTCCTGTCACATCCCCAGGCTACTGTGATGCTCTTCAGAGACATATGACAAATGATTTGTGCTCTGAAGCTGCCTGTCCATCACAGCTTGCTGGCAGGAGGACATTTGCTGCGGCCTTGGCAACAGCTGGAAGCCTTTGTGCTGGATGCCCCTGAGATGATCCAACTGATGTTGGGTCTCTGTCTTTTGTCATTTTCCCCACTTCATCCTCTATCTATTCTTTCCTGGATCCCATGCCAGCAGGGCTGCCACAGCCTGTGGTCCCCTCCTTGCCCCACCTGAGCTGCTCCAGACTCACCCCCCCTGCATGCACAGAGATGCAAATCTCAGAGCTGTCCCTAGGGCTTAGGGATGTAAGTGTCACCGCAAGGTGGCCTTGGAGCAAGGAGCAGAGCCGGTTGTGCTGCCCGCTCCCTGCACAGCACGGTACCTTGTCTGTGCCCATGTCAGTCTTCACCCAGCCAGGATGGATGGCCATGCACAGGATGCCCTTGCCTTGGAGCTCCGCAGCCATGCACCTTGTCACCATGTTCTGGGCAGCCTGCAAGAGGCATCACCGGCCAGCACCACTCGGGGCGCTGGATGGATGCCGGGGTGCATGGAGGTGGGAGCGGGGGGATTTGCAAGCCGGGAGCTGTGTGTGGGGCTGGGAAATGGCACTTGACCCTGCAGGAAAGCACCGGCCCAAGCAGCCCTAAGGGCTCCCTCCCAGATGCTGCTGGTGCCAGGGCTGGCAGCCTCGATGCTGGCACTGGGAGGACCTGGCAGAGGCCTGGCAGAGGAGGTCCTGGACTCACGACTGTGTTTCTGCTCTGTCCCTGCAGCCCCCACTGACAATGGAAGTGAGCGTGCAAGGGATGCTGAAGGTGCTCTGCTCGCTGTCRGAGAAGGACACTGGAGCTTTTGTGGACTGGGAAGGGAAAGTAGTTCCCTGGTGAAACACCAGCCCYMTGTTGTGCCAGGATCCTGGCAGCAGGTCACTTTGCTGCTGCACTGAGYTATGCCAGTGTCCTCATTAAAACTCCATKTCTAAGCAACAAATAGCACTGTCTGTGTTTCTTCTTTTATTAACTTTGAAAGTTAGTATTAGGTTCTTTGCTAGACCTGTGATATAACTCTTCAAAACTCTTTCTATAGTCTGTGAAGCTGATTTGGTCTGAATTTCCTTTCTGCTCTGCTGTCAGGGACCTGGCCGTCATCTTGCTAAGGCAGGGCTCCTGCTTTTATCCCTGAGTGCAGAGAGCCCAATTTTCCTCCGCTCTCATAAATCTAGAAATAGGAGCAGCATTACAAGAAAAGGATTTTCTGTCTTCTCTCACCCACCGCGTACGCTCATGTGTTCATAYGCACGCACTTTACAGCAACACGCCGGTTTGGGGTCCAACCTGGCAGATTTCTCTTATYAAGGCAGACAGTACACAAATAAACATGAGGATGTAGCTGGAAATGGGAAAACCGAAGTGCCCTCTGCAGTTTCGTTAACGAGGAAACCTTTTTGTTTATTAATTCCAAGGTTGGTAGCACCTCCTAGGGGACATGCACGTCTCCTGCCATCTGTCATGTGGTCAGACTGCAGAAAGGGAGATTGCGGTGCATGAAGTATTGCAAGAGCTCCGAAGGGAGGGCCTCTGGAGTGGACACTTGTGCCAGAGGACTTTGCCTAGGGAGCATTACCGCAGCCACAGCTGCGAGACAGGGAAGTGCAGGGAGTGCGAGGCAGCCCTGGCCCTCCCAAACGGGCAGCGCGAGTCCCGCACAAGAGGCGCCTCTGAGGCAGCGCCGGCGGTGCCAGCAGGGGTTAGATTTCTCAAAGTCAGCAGCTTCCATTTAGGCTAGAAACTCAAGTAGCTAAGTTTCCTAAAATGCAGAACAACTAACACGTTTCCTATTATTTTATGTCTTTTAAAAATATCACTGTTTAATTTCATTCTAATGAATATGAATTCAGCTCTTCTCAAATATGCTCCTTAATGCAGCGTGGAGAACAACTGTTTGAAGAAGTTTTTCCTTTAGAAACGTAGTTGTAAAAATCTGCCCCACTGGGCCAATTTTCATCTTGTCTGTTGCTGCAGCCACAGCACTGCAATATTATCTATTTGCAGCAGAAAAAGCCTTACAGATTTGCCAATATAAAAACAGAAATTTAAGGCAAGCAAATCAGTGCTCTCATTAGCTCTTTACTGTAAAAGCAAGCTAAAGATCTCCTTCTCTGGATTTAACCTGACAGAATTGATTTTTGTCTTTCATTTTAAAAGGTATCTTTCTACTTAACCTTCCAGCTATATCAATCAGCATAAAGCAGAATCAGAAGATCACAGAGCAAAGCTATTTYGTGAGGAGAAAGTAAAAAAGAAGTATTTGCTTGGTAAGGAATATGTTCACAGTAGTAGGTAGAATGCTTTACACTGATTAAACCCTAAAGCCCCAAAACTTCAGTGGTTAAGCCTCATGTCTTTTTTCCAGCTTACACTACAAACTTATCTCTTCATTTTAAAATGATACAGCACAAAAAAGGGAATAYATTTTTAGCAGACATATGCACAAACATCAAACTTCCGGTATTTGGATAAAGTGTATATATCCCTTACCTTTTAGAGAAAAACCATCTTTCCCCAACTCAGTTTTAAAGCAGTGCATAGGCTATAAACAACACAAAAATGCTTGGTATCACCAATTCAATGGTGATACACACATTTGGTGTTTGGTGGGGTACAACAGATACTTAACCCAACCTGCTGTMCAATCAGAATTCCCCACATCCACAAATATGGAGAAGAATCATTCCTGGAAAGTGTTTTGCTATATAATATTCAATGGATGCCACTGTCCCAAAGACTTTGTCTAGATCAAAGGATTTRAAGTCATAGTTCAATCTTACTAATCCCATGCTGCAAAATTCTGATTTAATTTTGACTCACAGATCTCATCTACCCTACCTTCTGCTGAAGGCACAAAGCTAAGAGCAGAGGGTTATTACCACTCAAGAATACACTGCATGCAGCTATGAAATAACTGAGRATTTGCTTTCAGTGCGTTACAACTTACCTTTCCAGTGTTCTTGATTTTTTCACTCATTCCAGACCATATATTTAAAACATCATAGTCTCCCAGTGAAGAATCATTTGTTCTCATTCCTTACCTTAAAATAAAATCAAGTTAAAATACATTGTTACTATGGGTGTCTAAGAAAGCAGAACTATGTAGATTTAGCACTTTTCCCTTTCCCCAATTAAGTTATTCACATTAAGTTACAAAGTTTCACTTGGGAACTTTTTGAATGATATTGCTATGGTAACGTTAGYGAAATGAGTTCAATTTTTGGAAAGCTTTGTTATCCAGATTTTTTTGCAGCATGCCAAGCTAGCGTTCCAATTCTGGGACCTAGCGTTGCTTACCATAACCAAGAATCAGGGAAAAAAAACTATGCAGGGCTCTCTGCAGAACACTAGATACTCACACACTGAATACTGACATAGTAACAAAKAAGAAGGTAAAACACTACAACAAGCAGACTGAATAGTCATATATTTTTCAACAAAATCATGWCAGAGAGCTCCTTAGTACAGGCGAATGGGGAGATATTGTGAAGTGTGCCATTCTGTGAGGGGTCATAAAYTGATGGACCAGAACCTCTAAAAGCAGAAATCCCATGAAAATTACCAGAGAAAATAAGTGACACTAGATCCTGGTCTATTGCAAATTGAGCATATTAGGAGTAAGAGAGCAGAGACTTTCAGTCTCAATAGAAATAAGTTTCCAGTAACCCTCTTGCAAGGGTTAAGTAAAAAGAAGCCATTTGCTCAAGAACAGAGATGCCTCTCGGTGCCATTGCTGAAGTGCCATCTTCAGCAAYACACAAATAAGGACCTACTATCCATAAGAATATTTGCTTGGATATATGTCAGTTATACCAGGCATCACTGAACACCGTATGCCATGGAGACATGTGATCTGCACTCATATGAATATGTGAGTAGTGTGATATTGTGTTTTTACATCAAATTAATACTGTGAAGGAGGTTCAAGAAATGCCAGAGCCAGGATAAAAAGCAGATTATTGAATGCATTTGTCTCTGGTCTTCTCATTACATACATTTAAAAATCCCTCCCTTTATTTGTCTGTACAATCTGAAGAAAAGAAGGCAAGATTATGGATTAACAAAGATATCRGAAAGCTTTAAGAATGGGTTCTGTTTAACAAAATCCTGCCAGCCTTCATTTGGCTGGACTTCATTTGAAATTCTTGTATCTAATAAGCACAGAATGGAAACTTCCAGTTATACAGGAGGCCRTAACATCCAGCATCCATAAACTGGGACACAAAGGAGGCTGTAAATCTCTACTCTCCTATGTACATTTTACAAGYTGGCACAGCTGTCTTGCACATAGCCTTCCCTCCTAACACTTTTGGAAACTGGAACCATAACCTTGCACTTTATTTACTGAAATCCTACTGTACTTGCTCCTCACTGAAGGCTGTCATTATAGGCCTCTCTCCTGCATAGCTCCATGCCAAAAGACAGAACTATTTAAGGATCTTTGTGGCAAGAGAGGTTACATGGGGATACTGATGGGAATTCAAGGCAAGCTTTAAAATTTAGTATCTTGGTCAGAATTCTTTAGGTGAGATGGCAAAGGGGAAACGATTGCAAATATTTTGTATGTTATTCTTGGATTATCATATCCAGCAAAATAAAATGAGCTACAAGTAATTCATTTTACTTTTATTTCTTTAATTTTAATTTCAAAGTAAACATCTAGTTTGACAACAATCCTGTTCCCTGATTCTCCATGTGATTTTCTTTACCTAGAAGACCTCCTTGACATGTTTTCATGGAAAAAAAGTATAGATTAACTTTTTCAATTGTCTTTTATTTTGGAAGATCAGCAAGTAAAAGAGAGCATACATTTGCATATCTAATMATGTGGAAAAAGCCACGGAATATTTATTAAACATAAAATCATAGGTGATGTGATGATATAAGGGTTAAGGAAAAATAATTTTATGAGAAAGACAAGATATGTAATTAGATGTGCTGATATGGTAGGGGAAAAAATCCTGCCTCCAAGTAGGTCGKCTTTCTTGTAGCACAGACTCAGTACAGAGGGTTGTTTCATAGCCCTTTATGATCTTCCCTGTTACACACCTCCTGCTAATCCCCTAGATTCACTGCTGCCTGCTTAAACATATGTTCTCTCCCCTTTAACCTCTCTCCTTCAGCACTCCCTCTGCTCCATGTGTCTGCCTTCTCTTAAAATTTTACTCATTAACATTTTTATGGAAACTCAGAGTAACAGTTAACTGTTGCCCTTGGCTTCACATGTGAGGGTCTGTGCCAGCCAAATATATTTCCTTGTCTCACAGAACTCAGTTCTTCCTACAAACCTTGTGCAATTAAAGCATCCCTTCATTATCACAATATATTTTTCCTCCTATGGATTTAGTCATACTATTTTGTAGATTTCCTACTTTGTATTTAGTACCTTATCAGAAGCAGGTGGGTCTGGGTTTTCTGGTAGAGCCTCACTTTGCCTCAAGAAGAGATACACTAACCAGACTTAAGACTTACCAGATGTGCTGACTGAGAGACTACTGCCAGTGGTCAACATGAACTGCTCCTTCGGTGATCTGCATTCAGAGTTTWCAGTTCCCCTTCATCATAGTCAAGTCCTGACCAGATTAGGTGCCAATCCTGCAAACATAAAGATAATATTGCATGTATGTGATAACAGACCTGCAGAACTAGCAGTTAAAATCACATTACATTTTCCTGTCAAAATTTGGATATGTCAATCTACCTTGCATTAAAATATTTCTTTAGGTAAAGTAACTGTTACATAAGTAAAGCTGTCACTGTAACTACCAAGCTTATCTGGTCACTAAGTGCTAATTAATTCAAACACACCCAGCTGTTAATTCTGCCTTCATAAAACCCAGTAATTACCTATCCTTATTCTGGCTTCTCTTCTTCAGGTTACCACCTGTTAAAATACACTGCTTGTTACTGTAAAGTAATAAACCTCTCTACAAGAATATTTTATTGATGCATGGCTGTGTGCAGGAACAGAATTTACTGTTTTTTAGCCCATTTCTGCTTCAGAAAAAGAGCTGTGCATGATGSATTTAAAGTATTCCTCTTTTTATGCAAACAAAAGCTGTCTTCACTGTTCTTTCCATACTATACAAGTAATTTTGTTTCTTGCTCTGGTGACAGTCACATAACCTCCTGATTTGTATGTGTTATATTATTTGGTTCATAAATTACAAGACCTATTTTGATACAACTGACTATGTATTTAATGCATAAGTCTAGACACTAGAAATAGTCAGGGTTTTTATCCTTGCTAAACTTTTTTGATAAGCTCTGTTGAATCCTCTTAGAAATGGAGATAATATTGCTTGAATATTTCAGACTGAACAAAATGTTTGCCTAGTGGCTTAAAATGAAATTATTTGCAGTTTTCTAAGGAGAATGCCTGTGTCTATTATCATAACTGTAGGTACAAAAATGACTAAATGTACTACTTCTGAAGTTGGAAGACATTCTATCAAATAGTTTAAAACATCTGTACATTTCAAAAGAAATGCAGTTAAATCAGAGTGCTATATTTAGGCTTAGAAAGGAATGATTAAAACATAGCCTGACAGATTTTGTTAACTAAAACAGCAAAATACATTTTGAAAATAAAATGTAGATGAAGTACTTTTCTAAAAGTCATGGCCATAGAGGTTCCATGAATTAGTCGGTTATGATCACTAACATTAAGAAAAAATATCCTATTACTTGGAGATAATCATTACTACATCTAAAGACAGAAGATCACATGACTGAACAGAGTATTTTTAGTATACTAAACTATAGTATTTTAGTATACTATAAGTATACTAAAATACTATATATATATAATATACTTAGTATTATATATATAAGTATACTATATATAATATACTTAGTATATTATATAGTATACTATAAGTATATAGTATATAGTATATATTATATAGTATATATTATATAGTATACTATATACTTAGTATATTATATAGCATACTATAAGTATACTTATAGTATACTTATACTATATAAACTATAGTATTTTAGTATACTAAACTATACTAGACTTACGTTCTTGTTTTCAACCTGATCACACGGGCAGCATTGCAACATGCAAGAAAAGTCCCATATTATTTTTGTCACATGCTGGAAGCTTAGGTGACTGATGAGAYTTCCCCTAACCCTTATTCATAGCAGAGACTTAATCTTAATTCCAGAGTTCCTCACAAGAGCATTCTTTATGTAGCACACATTGAGGAAATATTTGGGGCAGGACAAGAGCTGTGCGAGGAAGAAGCTTGAATATTACTAAAACTTTCAGAAATCATGTTTGTTAACTAAATGGCTATACAATTAAATGTGCAGTATCTTTTACACAAGGCAGGGGTCTTTTGGAAATAAGGTGAYATTCAAACAGAATACTTAAACCAATCCAGAACACTCATGCAATCGGTTCTCTTGCTGTATCTATTCTACTACATTAGTATCAATAAAGATACATATTCTACATCCAAATTACAGGTGAGATTGTACAACACGTGTTACTGCAGCTTTCCTTCTCCTAATAAAACACCTAGAATACTGCTAGTTTGGACAGGCCTACAAGTTCCATATCCATTATATCCTCAATATAAGAGCAGAACTTGTCAAAGTCCTCGCTTTATTTCCTCTCCTGTCCTTTTAAAAAGTTACTTCTAATAGTCTTTAAAGTAGAAAACAGTAAGAAAAAAAGAATCTGCTTTAAGCAGCAGTTTAACAACTGGGACAAGCTTCTAAATACCAGAATTCCTAATAATCAAAATTTCATCCTGGTTTCGCATTGAAAATCTTTGTTTCCAGTAAAACACATTTTACCTTTATTTTTGTCAATTAGGTGCATCATCTTAAACCACTGTTTTAAATTGGTACCTCTCGTATAACTGAAAAAAGTCACATTCTACCTTCTTAAGATCACAGTATAAATTGTCACTCGTGTTACTATAGAAACAGAGTGCATTTCATCATTTTAATGCATGCAGTGATAATTGTTTTTATTTTAGTCCACAGATAGGTAGTTAATGGTGCCAGCTGCAGTTAGCACAGACACAGACTTTTTCCTAGGGCTAAAAGAATTCTCAGTAGGAATTATGGTTTTGTACAAAAAAAAAAAAGAAAGAAATGGCAGGACTTTTTAGTTTTTCTACAATGAGCTGACAAAATAATGTTGAGTTCCACACGGCAGCTTATAAAATTTGGATTCCATTTAAAAAAAAAAAGGTATGTTTGTGCTGCCACCTTCCCATCCATGACAGGAGCTTTCTCTAGCAAGTGCTGCTGGATATTAGGAGTATAAAGGTGCAACCACCACAGGTCTCTGTGCAACTGTGTATTTCAACCTTGATATTATAAACATATCAACAAGCATGAAAGTAAATGAAAATACAAAGCAGAGTTTACATGCTCAGACCTAAGTTCATTTAGAATGTAATACACAAATAGATTTTAACAGAAAAAGAGATCACAATGAAAGCAGTATAAGAGGGCTCCTGCCCAAATACTGAGGTCATTCAATCCCTACCCAAAATTAGGTTGCATTAATTTTAAAAAGTGCTGTGATTTAAAAYACACAATTAATGGCCCCAATATTATAGTGCTACAGGTAAGGATCACTAGTGGTTTTGGATATCATCTTTTTCCTCTCCTGTGTTACACCAAACCTGAGTTCTGCCTCAGTCTATAAAGTGCACTACATCCTTAGATCCTGCTGATACCTCCCTCCTCWCTCCCTTTGCCTCAAACTATACAGGCCACTATTATCTTTGAAAGGTCACAGGGATCAGGAAAGGTTCTTACAAAAGGAAAATTATTATTAGATTGCTAAGACATAGACTGGCAAAGTGGATCTTGAGAAGGGTGGAAAATTGGCTGGACCACTGAGCAAAACAGGTTGTGATCTGCCCTTCAGAGGCCAATACTTGGCAAATACCACTCAATGTCTTTATCAGTGACAAAAATGATGGGACAAAATGCAATTTAAGTACCACCAAACTGGTTCGGGTAAAATTTCAGTATTCTTTTTTACTGTATAATTAGCTCGAATATGGAATAACTATCATAACCATTAAGAAATTTAAATGGTAATTTTATATTGAAATCACCTTTACTACTTCTACCAAGATTTGGCTTGAACCATGAAAAATTTATTCCCAATCAGTTATTCTCAGTTCATGTCAATTTGCCTATAATTAATGAAATTTATGGGGAACATTATTATAAGAGGAACACCTCTTATAAGAGATGCAGCTGATGTATGGATTAAATATTAATGAGCATAGTCTTTTTAAGGATAACTGCAATGCTTAATGTAGAACATTAGCTAAGCAGACACTTTTTTTTAAAGCTGGTTCAAATCAATAGATTTACAGGAGAACTMTTAAGCACCACTTTCTGTGCTAAGCCCTCCTTATTCAACACCATGAATTATAAAAATTGTACACAGGATTGTATTTCCTTCTTGCATATATCTGTGCAATTTAGTTCTGAAAGTCTCCCAGAAGCCATCAATATGATATGGAAAACCGTTTGCTTTGCTCTGTTTGTCCCAATCTAGAACAGTTAAAAATGCTGTAATGAATTATAGCAGTGTATCATTGACAACTAGGCATTTATGCAAGGTATTAAGAAAACTGAATTATAGATAAAATTATACTTGGAAATGTCTGGTTAGACTTCCCATCTGTGACTAGAGAAAATTATAACAGACAAAATGTTGATGGGATTATAATTCATGAATATCAATTATGACATTAGACATTTCTGAGCAGATAATATGCAGCAGTCATTGAGCTTTAAGTCTTGTACACTTCTTGCACTGTTCGTAGGAATGTTAACATTCAGATTCTATGGCATTTGCATACCTCTGATTAGTGAGGTTTTTCCCCCATTCCTTGAGGGATTCCTTACTCTGATTCTGATGAATACATATCCTGCATGGTCTGTGTTTAGATCAAATCAGCTACAACACGCAGGAGCTCCAAACAGGCCACAACACATCCAAAAATTCCAGATGAGTTTGGTATACGTATACATTCCCAAGCGTATTTGGTTTACTACTGAAGAAAATATGCATTTGTTCAGAAAGGCAGTAAGAGCAATTATAATTTTAGCAATACAACAGGTACGCAGTAAATGCAACGTCTTGGAGAAACATTGCGCTTCCTGCACACGTATCCCACAGGGCATACACATGTACCGCGGTCTTCCTAGTGGATCTGGAAGACAACCRTGATAACTTTCCTGCACCTTTTTASGCAAACAGCCAGACTGGAAAGATTCTACTACTGTCCTACAGGCTCTATTTGGTAATAATTCACTACCCAGCAAGTTTATATAAAATCTTGTGAGAGGAAAAACAAGGTTCTAATTCTCATCCATTTGAAAAGAACCCAGTGGAAAGAAAACTGACAGTGTAACTGACAGTGTCTGTGCACATGTGGCTTGCGCCAAGTTTGAAACAACTGTGACTATGMCTCCTGTTTATCTTGCCCTGGAACATTTTCCCACAACCTGGCTCACTTGCTCAGGCCAGGCATTGAGCTGAGAGTTGAACAGGACTGAAATGTGATTGGTAATGTGGTGTTAGGTGTTTTAT